TTGTGCTGAACACTGGAATTTGACACAACATTGTAAAATGATTATAAATCAATAAAAAATGTCAAAAAAAAGATTCTTGCAAAGAAAAAAAATTTTTAATAGCCATGTAAGTTGAAATTCTAGTTAACATTACATGTGGTCCACAGTTTTTTCTGCTTCATCTAAGGTAACAGGGAGGGAGCCACAGTCATTTTTGACAACAGACCATGCACCACTCCTCTGTGGGTCTCTGTGAGTGGCCAGTGGCACTTCCACAATGCTGTTCCCTTTATCCGGCCCTGAGTCCTGGGGGTTCAGCCTCCTGGTAAGGGTTTGGGTTCCAATCTTAGGGTATAGAAGGTGGGGAAGAGGAAATGACCCAAGCCTCCATAGGTAATACACAAACACGGTGATACCCTAGTGGCTGATGAAAGGTCCGATACAGATTGAGTACAAAACTCACAGAAACCCAGCTTTCCAGGAATGATTTAGGTAGGAAAGCCATCTGAGTGCCAAATGGAGCCCTTTGTGAGCGTAAGCAAACCCAGAGCCCCCGGGATGTAGGATGGAAGGAATGACTGACTGCCTGATGCGGGCATTTCCAGGCCTGGCTTCTGGTCTGACCTTGTGCAACCTTTGCAATTGTCCTGGGCCGGCTGACTTCACGACACCTGTGTTCTGTGGCAGCTGTCGAGGCCAGCCCCACCTGGCCCCTCTCAGCTGGAAGCCACGCTGGCTGACACTGCCTGCTGTCGCCCTGCGGGTGCCCACGTTTGCCCCGAAGATTTTCCTCATGCCCTTATCTCCTTTGCTGCCTCCTCTTGATTATCCCTTTGTTACCCTTCTTTACTCCTATGACTACTAATTCCACATGTCTGAAAATGTCCTGTCACCTAACAATGTTTTGTTCTGGATATGAAACTTTTTTCCAGGAAACACTGGGAACAAATCCTGGAGACCAGAAAAAAGAGCTATTTGTGTGTGTATTAGTTTGCTCGGACTTCCACGACAAATTGCCACAAATTGGGTGGCTCAAAGCAACAAAAATGTATTCTCTCACAGTTCTGGAGGCTAGAAGCCTGAAATCGAGTCTTTGGCAGGGCCTTGTTCCCTCTGAAGGCTCTAGGGAAAAATGCTTCCTTGCCTCTTCCGGCTTCTGGTGGTTGGCAGCAATCCTTGGCATTCTTTGGCTTACAGCTTCATCAGTCCAATTTCTGTCTCTGATATTCCATCACCTTCTTCCCTGTGTGTGTCTCTGCTTCCAAATCTCCCTCTTTCCCTTATAAAGACACCAGAAGCTGGATTTAGGGCCCACCCTAATCCAGTATGACTTTGTCTTAACTTGATTACATCTGCAAAGACCCTATTTCCTAATAAGGTCATATGTTCAGATACCAGGGGTTACGACTTGGACAGATCTTTTGGGGGGGAGGGCGCAGCACATAGCTGAACACCTTTCAGTATGTGTTAGGTGTATTTAGTGATGAGAGTTCACGTTTGGTCCACGTCATGCTGCCATCTGACATATGGACTGCACTTTAAAAGCCCACCTCCAGTTGAGAAGGGGAATGGATTTGGTGAGATGGCAGGAACCCAAACAGTGAGAGTGGTCTCATGATACCTTTCTGCCAGCTGCAGATAAATTGAATTGGTTTGCTCCATATGTCTCCTTCTGCACATTTTGGATAGAACTCCACCTTGCCAGAATTGGGAGCTATCTCTTTCTCCAACTTGCCCTCCTCATCTTTTATTTATTGAGCATCAACTATGTAGCAGATCCTATATAGGTGCTTTCTTCCCTGCAAACTCTGAGGTAGAGCCTCTTATCATCACTGTACACGTGATAAATCTGAGACTTAGAAAAATTAAGCAAGTAACCTGCCCACAAAAATACAACTGGCAAGTGGCACCGCAGAGAGCTGAACTCAATATTGTCATCCTGTTTAATCCTTTCTGTTTGGCTTGAATATTCATTCATATATTCACTAGATTAATAATCACTAAGCACTAATTAAGTGTTAGATCTTAGTGATAAAGCAGGAAGCCAGATGGCCATGGCCCTGAGTTCACATTGTTGAGGTGGAACGCCGGAGCATGCATAGGAATTAATTACAAAAAAGTTAAGAGAAGAATATCCCATGATTCCTCTTAATAGAGCTAACCTGTCGAAATGCCGCCATTTTGGGCCTGGGTGATATGACCTATTTTGTCACGTTGGTACACCTTAAAGAGCAATGGAAGGAGTTTATCTTGGAGGGCAAGGACTTTGTCCTTTAAGATGGCTTAGGATTTAAGCCTGCTCACTCCCCAGGGACCCAGCATCTACTACTCTGTTGCTAGTCCTTCTTTGGTTCAGTTCTCAGCACTGCAAAACAGAGAGGGCAAACCCCTGAGATAGTTTGAGGGCTGTGCAAGGGGCAGGTTGAGTATACTTACAGTTCAAAAGAGAGTAGGATTGGGCTTTGAAAATGACTAATTGTCTCTATCACAAGGTTTACTACTTATGTCCCACAAACATAAGAAATTGTTCCTTGCATTCATTTTATGACCAAGATTCTTCCAAAGGACAGGAAAGAGTAGTGAAAAATTAGCCTGGGCCGGCGAACATGTTGCACACTGTTGAGAATGTGTTCATCTGTGCTTGTGTGGTGGTCTCAGTAGACTTAGGCTGGCTCCTGGTTTGGCATTTGGAAGGGGTCCATTTGTCACCTTAGAAGGCACTGGGCAGAGAGAAGCTATGGAGAAGACCTGCTTGCTCTACATGCTTTTCTCAAGGCTGCAATGCACAATCCACTCCTGAATGACCAGCACCGGGGTCTAGAATGAACATCCCCAACCTCCCACGCTGGTTGAGGTTTCTTCTGATAGTGTCATTTTCTGTCTCAAAAACTTCTGAGTGCTGCCCAGAGAGTGGAAAATACAGTCCAAACATCCCCAGCCTGACCTTCAAAGCTCTCTGTGGTCTGGCTTCTGTGTTCTCATCTGGCTTAGTCTTCTTCTATGTACCCCCATGTCCCTGCTGAGCCTGCCTCTGAGTGGCCACTGTCAGTCCACGCTGCCCTGATTATGCTCAGTGCAGTCCAGTCTCCCAACCCTGCTCAGCCTCTTCCGCCTGCCAGCGTGATAGATTATAACAATGCCCACAATTTCCCCCCAAGTCTTTCCACATCCCTTCAGAATATGACTTTCCTTTTTATTTCCCATCAAGAAATGGACCTTTCTCCCTCCCCATGAATCTGGGCAGGCATTGTGACTTGCTTGGGCCAGCAAGAGGCAATAGAAGTGATGCAATGCAAGTTCTGAGCCTAAGCCTTAAGAGGCCTTGCATGCTTTTTGTTCACTCTCTTGGAACCCCGCTGCCACCATGGGAACAAGCCGAGGCTAGTCTACTTAGATGCTAAGACACATGTGGCTCAGTCTCCCTGTCTCTCAATCTGACAGCCATCCAGCCACTAAAAAACCTACTAGAGGACTGTGGATGCTTGAGTGAATGATGGCTGTTGACACCGAGGTCACCAATCCCGGCCCAGACCAGCAGGGCTGCCCATCTCATCTGTAGACAGACAAGCAAAAACAAATCGTGGCTGTTTTTAACCACTAAGATTTAGGGTAGGTTAAGAGATAACTAATAACACCCTGGAATCTGTTTCCCATTCATCCCAACAAACTTACACTCAAAAGCCTGCTATGTGACTTGATCTGAGCCAGGCATCGGGGGTTTAGAAACAAACGGAGACTATCTCCAGGAATTTCCCATTTTCTTCAGTTTGTGCCTTTGAAGTTCATTTCTTTCAAGACAATCAAATCCCATCTCCCAGATGTCTTCCAGGTCTTCCCAGGCAGCATGAATCTCTCCCTTTTGCAGCCTCAGCTGACTGTATGTATGTCACAGTCCCTCTCTGAATTCTTTCTCACCTGGGCTGCCGTAAGAGCCGTCTTATTACTGTTTGTCTAGCCTGCTCTGTTCCCCACAGCCTTATACTGTGAGCTTTCTGAATGTAAACCATATTATGCCTCTCAGAGTAAATCTCTTCACTGGCCTTCTGTCACCCCCACGACAGAGTCCCAAATCTACCTCTGTACTCTGCCCCCTGCACTCCAGCTTAATCTTCCATCATTCCCAGCTTCATGCTTTTTCCAGTGTGACCATAAATAATTCACTCTTCTCTGTTCTCTCTTCCAGGAACATTCTCTCCACCCCAGTCTGCCTGATATGCTGCTATTTACCTTCTTAGGCTCAGATGTCACCTCTTCCAGGAAGTCTTTATTGAACTTTCCCCCTGCCACACCCCTCTGAAGACTGAGTTGATCACTCCCTACCTCTGTGCCTTGTAATATTGTTACTGTGCACCACCGCAATTTCTTTCATTTACATATCTCAAGTCAAATATTTGTTAATTCAAGGCCTAGGCATTAATTTTATCTGTGTATCTAGTAAGCTCTCAGGCAAAACCTTTTCACTTAGGAAATAATAAATGTGTTTTGAATGAATAAACAAATGAATTAAGGAATGAGTAAAGACTGCCACTACAGTTACTCTCTCCAACCCAAGAAGATAAATATTCATATCTATATAGCACACGTACAGTATTCTTGTACAAATAAAGTTTCCTTATTTCCTAAGAGAAACCTGTGCCTAGGAGACAGAGGAAGAGAATCAAAGTGTCTTGGAGAAGAAGTTAAGAATCAGTTGTAATGGGAGATTGATGGTCTGAAAGCTGAACATCAACTGCTGTGCGGTTTTGTCTGACCTTTTTTGAATCCTGGACCATGATGCCCAGTCTCTGTATTTTTTACAAAAGGAATTTCAGTCTTCTTGTATAATATTTCTGAAAAAATAGTAAAGAGGGCCTCTATCATTCCAGCGAACACTTCCTATTTATTCTTACTGCCCCTCTCTATGTCTTTCACACCACACATGCTTCCGGGAATCGGTCATCCCAGCACACGCCCACCCGAAGCAAACTATCCCCCGCCCAAGAGGATGTTACTCCTTCTTTCTCAGTTTTCTTCTCCCCTCTTCTTCCCGGCTCTTTAGACAACTCAGCCTCGAAGTCATCCCATACTGGCCTTTCTCACCCCGTTTTGAAACCACCAAAGCCTAGGAGGATGTGTGGCATAGAAATCTAACTTTCTTAGAAAGGAGGAGCCAGAGGGAAAAAAATATCACTGGAAATGACTGCGTGTCCTTAATGAAAGCACGGTGGGTGTGGTGAGGAACAGCTATACATTGATGCAGTTTTGTAGATAATTATTCTGCCCCCGCTTGGTATGATCTGATTTATCTTTCTTATTTGTCTATGAGGTTGTGTTCATCGGTCCATAGCAAGAGAAAAATAAACTAGTAAGCTTGTGAAAAACAATTATTAAAATGAATTTTTTGAAACTGTTCTTTAGTCTAGTATCTACCTTTCTGGAGTTATCTTTTCTTTAAGTAAATCATTGGGATAGAAGATGGTTTTTTTTAATGTTCTTATTGGCAAATAGAAAGTTGGCAAGTGTATGTAAGTCCACTATTTAAAAAAATTTTTACTAGTTCATACAAATCCTAAAGATAGGAACCATAGATCTACTGTTTATTAAGAGATTTTTTTTAAAGGGCTCTAAGTGAAGGAAGAGGAGAAAGGAAAAGAGAGATTAGATGTCCTAAACTCTAGTAAAGCATTTCTGGATGCTGTTCTTACTCCTTGCCCTGTTCTCAGGCTGGAGGTCTGAACCCCGTGGACTTTCAGAGGTACTATGATGAAGATACCTAAGCTATTGGCGAAATTTCAAAAAGTCTAAAGAAAACTACCATTTGCAACTTAAATGAACCTTGAAAACATGCTGAGTATAAGAATCTAGACAGAAAAGCCACATATTGTATGATTCTACTTGTATGCCACGTCCAGAATAGGCAAATCTATGGGACAGAAAGTAGGTTAGTGGTTGCCAGAGACTGCCGAGAGAGAGCAATGGGGAGTGACTGCTAGTGGGTTTTATTTCAGTGTAATAAACATGTTATGGCATTAGATGGTGGTGATGGATATAACTTTGTGAATATACCAAAAGCCACTGAATTGGACACTTTAAAAAACAGAAAATAAAAAATACTAAAACAGTTTCATGGGTATTATTATCTAAAACGTATGCAGGGGGAAGGAGTAAACATGAACCCTTAGAGAGAGATTTGGGAAACATGGCTATACACAGATTAAATCTATGTTAGAAGTCAGCTGTTCTGTATCCTCAGTTTATCCATATCCAGCCATACAAGGGGGTATTCATATTACTTCTCACAGTTCAAAGGTTCACTCCCCCTTCCTTTGGAACACCCTTAGCGCTCAAACAGGCCTCTCTGTGCCAAACCGCTAGGAGTTCCAGGAAGAAAGGAGAAAGTGGCCAAGTCCCCTTTGTCTCTCTTTGCCCCCCGGGCCTGAAAGACACATTGCTCCTTCCCCAGAGCATCACAGAAAACCCTGAGTGTGAGGGCTTGAACTGCATCTGAGCCCTCTCCCCACAGCTGATTGGTGGATGAGCGGGTCCAGCTCAGGACCCAGCCTGGGCTGCTCTCCTCCACCCACACCCATTCACTCCCACAGGACTGTGCTCCCGGAATAAGTTGATCTCAGTCCATAAGACACAGTTATACTCAAGTTCAAACTTGGGTTCAGCTGCAGCTCCCTCTGAACTCCTACAATATTTCATCCCTAACTGATCTGCCCATAGCGAGCATTCTGAAGCCAAAGTAAAATAAAGATTACGTGAAATAAAATTAGGGAGTGAATTTTGTCTCAGTTTCTGCCCGTTGGGACTCTGGTGTCCTATTCATTCCCTGACAAAATGGTAGTTTTCTACCTTGTGAAGGAAAGAAGTACCTCCTGCAGTCAAGATTGTAAGAATTGCCCAGGGAAACCTATGGTGTCAGGGAGTATGGAGATGGAAGGAGCTTCCCAGGGCAGCTGATGCAACATCCCAGTGATTGCACGGGTCACTTCTAGTGCGTCCCGGCTGGTGTCCATCAAGTCTCAACTTGCATACGTCCTGGGAAGAGGCATTTTTCTCTTTTACACTGTTATATAACCATTGTGTGTCCATGCCTTTCTTCTCAATTGAAGCCCACTATTTATATAATGCTCTATCACTAACAAAATTATACTCACATATCTTGTTTTATTTAATTATTACACCAATCTTGTAGGAAAGGCATTGTTACCTCCATTCTGCCTTTGAGAAAACTGAGTTTCAAAGGTATTAAATGAGTTGCCCGAGGTTACAGAGTCAGGATTCAAACTCTGAGCTTCTAATATCAAGCCCAATGTTGTTTTCACACTAAACCGCAGCCTTCTAGAGTTTTTAGAGGATGGAGACCTTATGTTTATGCCTTCCTTGTGCAATGCTTTAATACAGACTGTTTCAGTAAATTAATTTATTTTCCAGGGAAAATTTTACTTAGTAGGTAGAGTGTAGCATAGTAGAATTATAAAGAGCTGAATTTGAACTCCACCTTGACCTCTTACAAGGTGTTAGACGTTGGACAAGTAACTTAATCTTGCAACTCTCTCATTTATAATGTGATTTATCAAAGGTATTCATATTTTTATTTGTTATAACTATATCTATTTGCCAGTCTCCTAAGATGGTCCCTCGGTGAGTCACGTGGCTTAGTATCTACATCTTTGTATAAATCTCTCCCTTTGAATCTGGATTGGTCCTGTGACTCATGTTTGGCCAATAAAATTCATGGAAATGACTCAGCATGACTTCCGAGGTGAGGTCATAAGAAACCTTGCAGAGTCCCCCTAGTTCCCTCAGGACATTCCATCTAGGGGTAAAAAGCTGCCATATAAGAAATCTGACCACTCGGAGGTTGCCATGCTGGGAGGAAGCCCAAGTTGGACTGCGGAAAAGACCCAGAGAAGAGATGCCTCGCCAGCCCCCAGTGTTCCAGATATCCCAGCTCAGGAGACAGACATGAGTGGAGAAGCCGTTGTGAACGCCCAGCACAACTGAGTCACCAGAGGTCTCCGGTCACTTCTCACAGTGACTGCATGAAATCCCTAAAGATAACTCTCAACTGAGCTCTGTTAACACACACAACCATGAGGGACAATAAGGAATTGCTGCTTTAAGCCACTGAGTTTTGGGATGGTTTGTTACACAGCAATAAATAGAGCGCATGAGGGTGATAACCATACTTATCGTATAGAAATGTTGTAAAGATTATAATCATACCACATAGAAATGTTGTAAACGTTACATGAGATAATGTATTTAAATGCTCATAGTAGGCAGTCAGTAAATTGCAGATTATTATTGTCACTGTTATATTTAATTCTAGGCCTTGTTGAAGTCTTTATTTTAGGTAGCTAACTCATACATATGTTCCACAGATTTTAAAACTCTAAGAACAGAGAGTAATGTGCCCCATGGAAGGAAAATGTACATTAGCCAAAAGCCGTAAGGAGTTCTAGACTCCTCTCCTTTGCTAGATGTCTTTTTCTCTATTTCTTTATATTTGGTTTTGTTGGGCCAGTTTCTGCTCCCTCCAGTTTCAGCCCGTGACCAGGATCTTATCTGCCCCATTTAAGGTGTTCCTTAGGTCCATAATCACCGTACACAGCTGTGCTAGTTGTCTGTTGCATAAACTCTTTCTTTCGGTCTTACTTTCTTTCCAAAATGGAAAAATATTTTTTTCAAATACATTGGTGTTACCAAACATATTTATTAATCAGGGGGCCAAAGGGTTTTATTCTGTAATATTTTAACCCTAATGCAATCTAAGCTGGTGTGGTCCCATGCTTTTGAGCTCACACAAATATACAATCATAAATTTGCCCAGGCCACACTTATCCAGTGTGATTGAGGAGTGAGAGGGCATCACGACTCATAAATTGATGATGAGGTTGGGCCTAGACAAACTAATGGAGAATGTACTTTTTTTAATCTGGAAAAATTTTGTAAAGGACATGAACTGAACGGTCATGTGACCTGGCTTTGATAATTACATCTGATACTTTTGTGGTAGTTTCCTGTTTCAAAGGGCTTTCCAATTTGAGTCTCAAACCTGTCCTCGTAGAAATTAGGACTGGAATTTTCATCCCCATTGCACAGATGAGGAAACTGAGACTAAGAGAGTTTAAACAATTTCTTTCTGGCCTCAGCTCACAGTCCGAGACTGGCTCCGTGACAGTAAAATAACTTTCATCAGGCCAGCAAGCAAGTTTCAATTCAGCAAGAGCGAGAAGTAGAAACTCATGAACGTAGAGATGGGGTAAACTTCTCCTTAAGTTATTAAGCAGGAATTTTTCTTGTGCCTTTTATACTATGGGTCTACAATTTCTTATCTACTACCCCTGGGGTTGTATGTGCTTTGACAGAATATTTCAGATACACACACACACTAACAGGGAATACTTTATAATTAAACATGTTGATTTTTGCAGCATAATGTGTAAA